CTTCTACTCTGGCCTTCCCAAGACTTCTCCCATCTCCTAAGGAACCGGACCTCCAAGATTGTAGCTGTTAGGGTTAATCGTCTTAGCCTTAACACCTATAACCTCTCATAGACACTAATGGCCGTTTCTGTTCTGCAGGATGAACAGTGAGGAACGGGGACGCGTTATCAGGCCCCATTATAACATAATACCGTCATACCCGACAACATCCACCATCTGCCGCAGAGCAAGGCAGCACAGGGACGGTGGCTTGCGCATGAATCATTGAGAGTAGGCTTGCACTGCAACTACAACGAGTTGCGCCTAACCCTCACCTCAGACAGCCGGCCGATTTGGCAAGGGGACTGGCGCCTGGAGAATGGAAGAGTGAGGTCGACTGTGGGTACTCCGGCCCCACGGCACTTGACGCATACTACTCAGCGTAATGACTCTGAAGCGCTTTGAAACTAGCATGACGAGCTTAAGGTTGTGGATTGAAAGGTTACCAACTGAAAGAATACTCCGATCCTCGTGACTAGCACTGTACGGCGACTGAATCGGGGACAGAGAATCAGACTTAATGTGGCTTTAATGTTACTTTCATGACGCACCCACACACGAGACCCCAACATTCCGCTTCTTTTGCAAAAATCACACTCATCTGAGCGACTCGGTCGTTACGGCTTTTTCCAAAGCTGGTGCATGTCTGTGTGGAACAGGTCGTTTGTGGCCAAAACAGACGAACCGGTTACTTTTCTCTGCGTCCGATCCCCCATCCGGTAGTCTAGACTTTGTCCTGCCAACAGGCGAATGTGACCGATGGAGGCTTAAAAGTGATAGATACTGTGCTGGTCTACCTACCTATGAACAAATTCACGCGCAAGTCACCATCTTCCGCCTAATATGCTGTAGAGTAAGCGGTGGAAGTGGTCGCGTGCGACGACTGACCTGCCATAATCGAATTGCAGAATATTCAAATGAAATTATCCTACGCTTGTTTGTCTTTTTCAGAAGTGAACGAACATACTTCCTGTGAATGAACGCGACGGAGGCTGGCCATCGTATCAGGAGTGGTTACTTAATGAGAAAAATACAGAAAATTTAGGTGAGAGAGATAATTATTACCTCTAAAACACTCAACCAGCAATACCAAAAGGAGGAGGTATTTTGCACAGACACGGTGAAATCCTTCGGGCGATAGTTCGCTCATTAGAGCAACACAAATGAGATTCAAAGATATCATTACAATTATTGAAATCCATAGTGGGCTGAAACGAGAAATCACATAAATTACCCTTTTGAATACGAAATTGTTAGGGCTAGCTGACTTAAAAACAAGTGGCTGACGCATACCTTCAAACAACTAATTTCGCGTACTTTTAAGAGTTTTTACACTCATAGTCAGTGTACACAGATTGTTCAGACAATGCATTTTCTGGAAAATCTAACTTTGGTAACTGTTTCCTGGCGAACGTTTTATGAAAATGGCATTATCTATAGTCACATTTATACAGAAACGATATGACAGCACTTAAATATTCATGCAATAGAGTGTCATACCTAAATGTCCACCAAGTAAACCATCGATAGGAGTTCAGTTGACTGATCAAGCGATCTTGCGTTCGCTTATGCTCTTGGATCTTGGAAAAGAATTCATATTACTTAATTTCGACAGCGCCCTTACAAGCTGATCTGTCTCCTGTAAAAGATCTTCCACCACCCATGGTTCTTCGCGCTCACTTGCCACGAAGGGAAAGAAGGAAGTTGATTTTATTCGCTCAATCGTTGCCTGGAGGATAAGGGTTAGGATTTGAGGCCCTTGACTGCTTACCTGCAAAAGGCGACACAAATGCCTGTTATTAGATAACAACAGCTGAAGTTTTCTGGCAGGGCTGACGTCCAATAAGTCAACGGTCAGGCTTCCCTAGAAAGGTAGTTGAATACCTATTGAAAAACGTCGGCCTACCATGGAATTTGACGGCGTCTTGATTCCCAGGAGGCTCGCGATTAGAGGACAGATATCTAGTTGATTAAGGAGTATTTGGTACCCGGATTTGGAGTCCAACTTTCTCAAAAGCGGATGAGATTGTTCTTTTACGATTCCGCTACCCCACATGAATATGGGCACATAGAGCTCCTTTATACCGCCATCACCATGCCCTACAGAGAAATGTATATCACCTTCAGCATAGCCTATTTTATTGCATGACACTAGGTTCAGAAGGCTACAAAAACCTGGTTTACTAATTCTGTGCGTTTTACGCTTAAACGTTGCAAATGAAATTAACGTTCAATACCCATTCTGAAAAATTTATATGACATTATTCTCCAAATTAAAATGCCCATCCTGAGAGGTACATCGGTGTACAAGCAAAGAATGTCCGAACACCGATATATATAGCATCGAAAAAAACTAATTCAAAAACCACAACCACAATCTACCGAGTTAGCAATTGCGTCTTAGTTAAGGAAACCAATGGCTCAGTTTAACCACATCCGATATCAGCGGTAGGAGGACTTCGCGTCTACTTCTCTCTACTGCCAACTCTCTTGTAGTCATCGTTGCGATAACTGTTCCCTGTTCACCTGGGTAATGCGGAGGGGCAAGAAGCCTAGAAGTGGAGCGACATGTGCACAACATAGTCCCTATCGTACATTTTTAATATCGCAAGACGTGATTTCGCATACGCCGTAGGCAGGCATGAGCAGCTGAGTAGGCAATAAATGAAATGCAACCGAGGCCAATTATGCTAATTTAGTGCTAAATGTATAACAAAGTGATACGCCTTGACTTTCCAGATACTCTGAACAGGAGACGCAGGATTGCAGCAACAAAATGCTTATAAGTCACATGGTACCGGCATTCTCAAATCTGACCTGATTCAAGGAAGGTTTATGGATGAAGTTTCCAGTTGCTCCGGCCTATAGCACTACTAAGCCTTTGTAATCTAGGTTCGGACTCTGGCCAACTGATGATAAAAAATAAGACCGAAATGGTAATTTCAGTCTGCGTATTTTTTTGTCGCAAATAGATTCCAGTAGTTAGCTGCAACCACAAGAGTTACCTAGGAGGCGAAGTAAAACTTACTGTTGAACAAATTTCAATTTTCGATGGAGGATGAGCTGTGGTCATGTAAAATGACCGATAACCAGAAAATAATGTCAAAAAGATGTAAAAAGGACAGGAAATTGTCAGCTCAATCAATAAACGGAGTGAGAACGCGATGACCGCCAGATGCTACAAAACCTCGACGGAAAATGAACCATTAGCGA